CGATCGAAACGTCGTGGGTTTTCTTATTTTATACCTACGCGACTTTACCGAAAGAACCAAAGGGTATGGGTTCGATTCCCGACCATAGCTGCCATCATAAGCGTCCGAACCTGTGCTAAATAATAATAGTAAGTCACAACCCTTCGTATACTTAGGTTTTTTCGGTAAAGTCCTCTCACTTGATACTGCTATCGTGCTGTGACGGTTCCACCTGAAGACGGAAGCTTGCGTTGCCTCCGAAACGTCGTGATTTTTATTTTATTTTTATTTTACTTTTATTAATTTAAAATTTTTACCTACGTGACTTTACCGAAAAAACCTAAGAATATGAATCATTGCAGTCACGAAAGCTTCAAATCTTGAATCACAACCCTAAGTCAACTCACTGCTCCATGGAGGGTTGTTTCGCCATACTTCACCACGTTGGTCACTGTGGGATGGTCCACCGAGCCACGGGTGACCCGAACTCGGGTCACCGCCCTTCCTCTAGATCAACTCGGCCTTAAACGAGGAGCCTGGTGCAACGTGCTAACTAAACATTCGGCGTTGGCGATGATATTTACCCCGGGCCGCTTCTAATCCATTCGTATGTGACCCACACATGAACAGGCGCTCGCGAATAACTCTCGTTGCAGCACGCGGTCTATGAACGTTAAATAGAGAACGCGTCCGCAGTGTTTGTAGAGTGGGCATTGCCATTGACGTGGTGATCCATATAAAGATATCCGTGAAAATAATATAAATGTATTGTATATGCAGTACTTAATTAAACAAAACAACATTATTAACAACCTCTACACGTTTCCCATGAAGCTGACAACAAAACATTTGACACTCTCCCCTATGTTTAAGACATGGAGGCATCACTTGGACAATATACAATCAGCTGTAGAGACACATTCAAGAGGGTCGTCAGAGATGGTTAGCCGGGCGGAGGGGTGGGTATCTATATATGGATCACCTTGCAGCCCTGTTCACATCATTGCCCCTTGTGGTGGCGCTGAACCGCACATTGCCATTGTAACCAGCAGGGGACGCTATGACATCAGCTAAATCAATACGTAGTGGCGAGCACATAGAGGCGCGGTTTGATCTCCGGGCAATCAACCAACTATCGAGGTTGTTCGGAACGAGGTCCGACGTTTCGTTCCACGTGCTGGGAGACTTTCAAACACACCACCGTTTGATAAGCCACCAATTTGGCCCGACGTTTCGCGCTTTCTCCCAAGCGCTGGGGGGGGCAAGCTTCTGAACAATTCAGCTCCCGAAGAAGCTGCCGGCACGCGGAGCGAAACGTCGGACGTCGTGCCCGCCGAACAGCGCATCGGGCAGCTGTGCGGCAGCGCGGACCGCGAGGCTCTCACGCAGACCGCGGCGACTCGAGCTGACGGCTTCATGCGCAAATGCACGTTGCGAAATAAGCTTCACGCACGCGCGCACACAATCAACTCCACTTCACGCTCAAGCCGAGAAGAACAGGCGCTACCGGATTGCAGTTGTTTGAATTGTCGTCTCGTCACGTCCATCATCAGCCATGATCAATCCACTGCTGGATGAAGCCCCCCCTCCTCCACTCTCCTGCCCCCTTCCCCCCACCAAAGTCGTTGCTATCTCTCTTTCCGGTGCTGTGGTGTAAAACAGACAAATATCCCCCGTACAGCCTTAACGTACTCTGGGCGCAAGTGGTATTAGCGAGCACCTAATGAAGGTCGGCACGGTATTCGAAGGGGGTGGGTAGGCAGCACCACGCCCGATCGCCTTTGTCTCTCCAGACGGGATGATTACACCCCGCACCAGGTACTCATTTGAGGCTGAGTCGACCTAGAGGGGGCATCAGACCGGTTGCAGATAATCGCCACTGGTGTTGACCGTGAGCGGGAATCGAACCATGGAAAGGTTCGTGGCGCTGTGCGCTAAACCGCTACGACGCCACTCCCGACACACACACAGACACACGTGAACACACACACAAACACACGTGAAGACACACACAGACACACAAACACACACAGACACACACACAGACACACACACAGACACACACACAGACACACGTGAACACACACAGACACACGTGAACACTCACACAGACACACGTGAACACTCACACAGACACACACACAGACACACGTGAACACACACACAGACACACGTGAACACACAAACAGACACACACACACAAACAAACGTGAACACACACACACAAACACACGTGAACACACACACAGAAACACACACAGACACACACACAGACACACGTGAACACACACAGACACACATACACAGACACACACACACAGACACACACGCGCTCATACACAGACACACACACAGACACACACACAGACACACGTGAACACACACACAGACACACACACACAAACACACGTGAACACACACACACAAACACACGTGAACACACACACAGACACACACACAGACACACACACACAGACAGACACACACACACAGACACACTCACACAGACAAACACACACACAGACACACAGACACACACACAGACACACACGCGCTCATACACAACGAATTCCGCTCAAACCAGCTCAAGCCGCCGCTTAGCCGCTGTCAGTGTTTAGAGCCGTTCTTTATATATATTATTTATTTTTTATACTTTATTTTTTTTGCGTGCCAAGTTGCCGTAGACTGCCTGGCGACACTACCCGGACGAGGCTGGCTCACAGAGGCACTGCATACGCCTGTGTGTGTGTGGCTGTTTATTCATTTATATTGGTTATTTATGTGTAAGCGTTATTATATTATTCCAATTTTTCTTTTTTATATTGTTATATGCACCAATTTATCCGGATTATAAGACTCCACCCCCACTCTCCCCTCCCAAAGCACTCTGCTACTCAACGCAATTATTTAGTGCGATACTGCTTGCAATGACAATGGTGCACAATCGCAGCGAACTATAAACATAACTACAAACTTCAACACATCCGAAATTAAACACTGCCCTGCGATGGAGACGAAACAAATCGGCGACGTTTAGGGAATGGCCCTGCTTCAGCCGTGGACCCTCCTGATTTACGGGCCCTGAAGGAGGATCATTGCCCAGAACGTCACCTCGAACCCGTGTTATTGAAAAAAATTACGTGTATTTCACCCTCCCTCCACCCGCGTGTGTTTTAAAGCATTAGTTGTGGGTGCCCCTTATGATCCGGTGCGTTTGCGTTGTGTCTGTGTATGGCAAGATATGTATCATTCGGTGATTCGCATGTGGGGGCCGCACGTTGGAGTTGTCGCCTTGACTTGCATCCCACTGGGATGTTTGCACACAGCATTGAAATACGGTGTGTTTTCTCGAAGACTTTGCTGTTTTTTCCTGGATTTTTCTGTTGCGTGTAGTCACTTTAAGATGTTTCTTGTTAATGTTTTGTTGCGGTTGCACCCGAGTCAAGAGCCGCATGGCTCACAGGGTTTATACCAAATACATGAAAACTGAACTGAACAGGAGCACGGTGTTCCGCGAACCGGGATTCTGCCGTCGTGTAACGGGGTGTCACACGCCACGCACAATGGCATTTGCAAACCCAGAGGGTCGCCAGATCGGTTCGATCTCCGGGCGCGGCAGCTGGAACGACGAAAGCGTTTCTTGTGCTGCCGCCTTCCCAAGCAGTGTAAATTGCGCCACGCATCGCGGATAATCGCTTGGTAGGTCACGCGTGATGGGGTACAATGTGGGCACTCCCACCCCGGCCGACGCGTCTGGCCAGTGTGGAAGAGTAGGACAACATTTCTGTCGATAGCGGCTCTCCAGATCTCTCTTTCTCTCTCGTGTAGACCCTTCTGGCAGTAGTTGTATAAGGAAGCTATCGCAGAACCGCACCTTTACCTATATACAGTATATATACATCTTGATTTAAAGCTTTCGTGACTGCAGGATTTAAAAATATATATATATATTTTTTTTATTTACGTGACTTTACCGAGTGACGCAAGAGTATAGTGTATATATAATTATATACATATATGTCATGAGCTGCCATCATTCGGCATTCAAACGGACCTCGGATTGTTGGACAGCAAAGCAGTGTTGGACAGTTTGTGGGGGTACAGTAGTTGGTTGCTAATTTCCACAATTTCGTTGAAGAGAAATGCATTACTAAGGGGCTGTGTTGGCAGTGGCATGCAAGCTAAAAATACAAGCTGCCATGCCAGTGCAGTGTCTGAGCCCGGCGTTTTGTTAAGGATTAGACTGTACAAGGAATGGTGTGGATAGAAACGCGGAATCGTGCATACAAATGGACTGACAAAGGCTCATGCAGAGACTCCAAAGGGTTAAATATAGAGACACCTAATGACTTGCATTGAGACTTGTACATTTTCATAGGAACGTAAATGGCGTATGCAAGCTTACAAAGAGACCCACAAGCTTACAAAGAGACCTACAGACTCACATAGAAACCCATAGACTCACTTTGAGACCCATCGACTCGTGTAGAGAAGCATAGACTCACAGAGACCCAAATATTTGATTTGAAGCTTTCGTGACTGCAGGAATTACTCTTTGGTTCTTTCGGTAAAGCCACGTAAAATAAATTAAATACATATAATTACTTATTTGATTTTATTTCTACGTGGCTTTACCGAAAGAACAAAAGAGAGACCTAAATATTAGAAAATCCATCGGCGTTCACAAATGTACACAAACGTTAGTTACGCAGCTTTTAATTCGACGTTGTGTATTTAGCCAGGTGTGAGTGCCCCTTGAGATTGGTCATTCGCTAAACATTTTTTGCCGAGGGTCATTTTACTTCCCTTTTTGTCAAAATACAAACCACGACCTTTGAAGTTAATACTGGAGTAGTGCTGACAATGAACTCGACGTAGCAAAGAACGTGCCCGGCGTCCCATCGCCACCAACCACGAGGTCAATCGTGAACGCGCCCAGAAAATCCCAGGTCATTTCACCAAAATTGTCACAGACTTTTTGAATTGGCATTATTTTTTTGTACATAAAGCGACGTGCGTTTTCAAAACTGTCCCACATGATGAGACCCCCCACACAACGTCCAGTTGCTTGATTCGTATGCGAACGAGGAGTGTAGTTGTGGTGCAATGGTTAGCACACATCGGCTGTGAAGCCAAACAACCTGAGTTCGATCCCCGAGTGCCACCTGAACTTTAGTGAAACCACGTTGACGGCCGATACGGGTCGCTGGAGGCCTCCATCAAGCGGTGGATTGACAGAGGCTTGTAAGCTCTCATCATTAGTATTACAACTTTACACGCAAATAATAACATCGCCGGCAAGACATCCGATCTCGTTTTCGGCAGCTAAGTAGAGCTTCAGCCTGGAGCGCACGTGGGATGGGCGATCACCGTGCGAGACCAGGTGCTATAGGCTTCTGCGGGGCCACGTTGCCAGCAGAGGGCGGTGCACCAGCAAGCAATCGTTGTGCTGCACTATGCTCCGATGTCGAATTGCTTCCACGCCTTTCAACAACCAACAACCCGCGCTGACCCAGCGTGGTGAAGAGTGCTCAAGTGACCCGCCCTCCCCGCATCTTGTACAGCGTGGGGGAGGCTCCGTCATCCAACTGTGGAGTGATCAAAGGACGGTACGTGTGCCCCGCGGTGTAATTATCAACCCGTCAGGAGGTGCAACAAAGTGCAGGTGTGTTTACTTAATGCTCGCGAAGGTCTCGCAAGGTGAGGTGAGCGGCCGGTGTCATTTCACCACAACAATAATAACAAGGGCCCTTACCTTCACCTGGGCCCATATAATTCGACGCAGGGTTGTCTCCGAGATCACGGGGCCTCTCATAAAGGACGAGTCCTCGGACACCTGCAATGATAAATGCATTTACTGAGTGGCGGTGCAAGGATCGTATCCTCTACCCCCAACACCGACACTCCACTACCACCCACCCCACCCCATTCACCCCCACCCACCATTCACCCCCCCCCATTCATCCCCCCTCCCCATTCACTCCCCCTCCACCATATACTGCCCCCCCACCCATTACCACCGGCGATTTGGTTGATAATGTTACGATTCAGGCCGGAAATTCGGTTAAACAATCAATTGTATTTCTACTCTTAGTTCTTTCGGTAAAGTCACGTAGGTAAAAAAAATTAAATTAAAATTAATAAAAATAATAAAATCAGTGATTTTAATAAAATCAGTGATTTTATTATTTTATTATATTTTAAATTAATTTTAATTTCATTTCTTTACCTACGTGACTTTACCGAAATAACTAAGAGTATGAATCCTTGCAGTCACGAAAGCTTCAAATCTAGAATTAATTGTATTTCTCGCGGTCTCGTCTGTTTTTTTTTGCCCTCCCGTTGGTATGATGGCATTTTGTCGTGCGTGTGTCTGTATGTATCTCCTGCGTGCGTATACGTCGTGTAGCGGTGAGCGCGCTGCGCTACGAACCTGGCGAACCGAGTTCGATTTCCGTTCACGGCCAACACCAGTGACGATTATCTGAACCGGTACTGGGCCTCCCCTAGGTCGACTCGGCCTCAAACGAGCACCTGGTGTGGTGCGTAAACATCGCCAGTAGGGAGACAAAGGCGGCCGGGCGTGGTTTCTGATCAACCACACTCTCGTGTGCCGTTCCGGCCTTCATAGGTGCTCGCTAATAGCACTTGCCCCAACAGCCTGTTAAAGTTATACGGAAGATCTTTGTTTCGTGTGTGTGTGTGTGTGCAGCCCATGTTGTGCATCCCCTAGTGGATGAGGGTCCTCATCGCGCCGTGTCGGTCATGGTCAGCGCGGACAGGTCAAGGTGTGCAGCGCAGGCGTGGGTCCATAGAAGTGCAGTGAAGCAATGGATGCCGTGGCATTTCCCTTCGTTACTCACAACGTAGCCCTACAGCCTATAACACCTAACGTGCGTGGTGGATATGCACGTGACCTGTAGTCCCACACTGTAGAGGCAGTGGGCAGGTGGCACACCCTGGGCTCGCAAGGAGAAAGCAGTACAGTAAGTGGACTACTCTCCCTCTGTTCCCATCTGTACGGGGATAGAGTGTCCCCCCCCCCGACCACAACCACCTCAAGCTCTCGAGTGCTCCAGTATCCTCCAACTTGTATGAACATCAGTCATCATAAATTAGCTGACATCTTGATAACAAAACAAAAAATGTTGCAGGACCATCCTGAACAAGAGTCTTTGGACTCGGTGTAGCTTTCCTGGAAGAATCAGTGACTTATTATGATGATAGACAGGTATTAGTTTAAGCCAGGATCAGAAGATTGATTTATACTGGAGGAATCTGATGAGCTATGCATCTCTTTTGTTTCACAGATGTCCAGTTGGGGCGGGTGAGAACGTCACAACAACAAACAGTAAAAAAAAATACATGATAGTATAGGAAAGGTAAGCAAATCACACAAAAGTTTTTTTTTTAAAGTAAAGCCAATTGAGCTCTGAGCTTCTTTTTCAGAAGCGACCTGGCCACAAATGAGAGCTCAACGAAGTGGGCCTATCAAATGGCAATGTATGGCATTACAGTGCGATACATTTACCGCATCGTAGTGTATAAAAAGGCAGACTTCTCAATGCTACGGCTTGTACACGTTGCTTGGCAGTCGCTGTGTCCCTGCCGGAAAAAAACAAAGTAGCATTGCGCAATTACCTCGCTTGTTGCGCAATCCTCGCACTCAGCAATTACCCCCCCACCACCCCGCCACTCTTCTATTTTTATTGTATTTTAGCTGGTTTAGAATTCTGGCGTGGGTGTAGGTGTGGGGGGTGCGGGCGGGCGGGCGGACGGACGGAGGGGGGGCCGAGTTCACACCAGGCGCTTGACCGCGTGATCAACATCCTCTGGCCCCCCTGTTTCAGAGGTCGTGTGTCACCCGTCGCAGGCTAATTAGCGCGCTAATTAGCGCTGTCATTGAGTTGCCGTGGTAATCGGGTGGACGGAGAGTTGCGCCGCAATTGTCACCGCTCCCTGAAGGCTGAGCTTGTTGCACTGGACGAGTTGCGAACGCCGCCGCTGAGACGTGAAAATGTGGTGTTGGTTAGTGGTTACGGGAGAGTTAGGGCAGCGTGGAGGGCTCGTATAGTGGCTGGTAGCAATTTGATCACGGTTATGGTGAATTCATGCACTTGTGATAGTTGAATTGTTGATTACTGTTAGGGCCAGCGTGAGGGCTAGTATATTAGTATCCGGGGCTGTCAACTGACCAGGAAATAACACGTGGAAGTATAGTACAGCAAGTGGGTTAGTGAGCAACTTGCGTGTGTGTGTGTTTATGGTCTCGCTCTTTAAGAAGGGGGGCCGCACTGATTGTAACAACTACCGCAGCATCTCCCTCCTCATTGCGAAGCCAGGAAACGTCATGGCAAGGATTATTCAACATCACCTTGCCAAGAGAGGCCTGCTGTGCCCCAATGTGGTTTCAGACCAGGGCGGTCCAGCACAGACGCCATATTTTCTATCCGTTTGCTACAGCAGAGGTGTACGGGATTTTAACAGGACCTATACATATCTGCATTATTGACCTGACCAATGCCTATGATGGTCATCATCATTAAGGACATTCACAGGCCCGGTTAAAACCGCGTGGCCGGGAGTCGGAGCCATTCAACTTGCGGATGGACAGGGATATGCGCTGACACCTTTATTAACACCTTTTTCGACTATGTAGTTAGAGATGCAAATACAATGGGAGGCTGATCGATGCCCGAGTGCGATCAAGGGATGGCTCCTGATGGCTTGGTAATCGCTGCTCACTCTGAGGAGCTGTAGACTCTGTCGCTGAACCTGGAGCGTAACACGTGGGGCCTTGCCCTCAGTCCCGCAAGAAGACAGCTCCCGTCGAGAGATTCTGTGTCATCAAACACTCCACCCCCTCAAGTCCCCCATGAGTGGTGGGGCAGTTGTGGAGAGAGTGGAGAAGTTCCCATACCTGGACAGTGTGCTTTTGACTAGTTCCAGTTTGGAAGCAGAGGTCCCACTCTTTTCATCGGCTGCGTAGCGCTGTGTGGAAGCTACCTGGCCTGACACGTCAAAGCTCAAGGTCTTCTCGGTCACAGTAATGTCCTGCTTTCTCTAAACTCGCGTAAAGTGGACCGCTCCGAAATAACATATGCGCCGGTTTGAATCATTTAGCCTGGGCTGTCTACTCTCTGTCCTGGGTTTGACCAGACATGATTGTGTGTGGAGCAGATCGTTGAAACTTCATCGGTGTGCTCCAACTGTAAGTAAGGCAGCATTGGCTAAGTCACGTAGCCTGCCATGTGGCGAAAAGTCGTACTCAGTTTGTAAATGTTGTGGCTTGGCTCTCCAACACACCTGTGTGCTGTACTAGTGACGAATTGGCCACGTTCTGTTTACGTGACAACCCTTACTAGTTGGCTGTGTCGGGTGGTGGCGGGTTTTAACGACACATGTATATATTTACGCGATTTAACCCAAAAACCTTTATGGATCATGTAGCCTGCATGTCCAGCTACCGCATGCCCAAGTAGCTTCTCTTTGGCTGAATAGGGGGGTGGGGGTTAAACGGGCGGGGCACGGGCTAGAGGAGACATGGGCTGATGTGGTACAGTATAGGATACGGAGCTGAGTGGCCTCGCCGATTATATTATTGGTACGAGCGGTGTCAAGCTCGGCTTCTCGGGAGAGACGCTCGCGAAGGACGCTGCTACTGGGCAGAGCACCCGGGTCGATAAAATGCGGAAAATATGCGTAGTAGGGGGACACAGGTGGGGCATCTGTCAGTCATCTCGGTGAACCCAAAACACCTGGGTCTGTCACGTGACCTCCTGCCAGCAATGAGCCTTCTGACACTTCGCATGGCCTCAAAGTGCACCTAGCCTGGCACAAGCGCTGTGAATGATGTCACCGTCACTTAGTGGCGAATGGCGGTTGTTGTTGATGCACACCTGTCAAGCCCTTATCAGTGCCCTACCTTATTCCAGACCAATTCAGACCTTATTGGTCACCCCGTGCCCTTTATAAATCTCAACGTTCATCCTACAAAGTCCCATCGCAAGGGAAACACACAAACAAATAGACAGACAAAACATTCGCCCGTATTGCAAGCGGGTATACGCCGCATGGGCCGGAGCACTCAATTTCTCTGTACAAGAAATACGGGGAAAACGGTTGACACGGTATGTTGGTGTTGCTGTTCCTTCGTACGCGTGGTGGGTGTTTTTTTGTATCTCTTTCTTCTTTCTTTCTCTGGGGTTCTCCATATATCTCCCGGAGCAATCCTCGAAAACAGCGTGACCCCCCCCCCCCCCACCTAAACCCGCTCGCGTCGCCGTGTGCGCGGATCATCGGCAGGGCGCGGTTGTTGCGTTTGTTCGCGGTTCTCTCTCGCCGCCCGCGTCTCGACCTCGAGCAATTGATTCGGGAGGAAGTCACGGGGGGCCTTATCTCGCGAGCGCGATGCCAGGAAGGGAGATAAAGGCGGCTGTGGCCCAGGACTCTGTCCTCCTTGCTAGGGGCAAGGCGCGGAACGGATTGCGGGTGGTGGGAACGATTACGATTGGCTTTGTGTGGTGTACCGCACGCGTACACACACACGTGTCTACAAGAGTACACACGTGTGTGTGTGTGTGTGTGCAACACTCATATATATATACATATATACAAGCAGCATAAATAGCTTCAATGCACACAGCTGCCGCACACACAGCAAAACCACAGGCGTACAGGTGTGACATACTGTATACACAGGTGTGAAGACAAAACGCAAATATCCCCAGTTTAGCCTTAACAGATTATTGGGGCAAGTGCTGTTAGCGAGCACCTATGAAGGCCCGCACAGCCCACGAGGGGGTTGTTCCGCCAGTACTACGCCCGGCCGCCTTT